AGAAGTCAGATAAGCAGGCAAAAACCACAAACAACGGGGACTCAAAATTCACAGTTCTTTTGTTACCAGTTAGTGAACTAATTTTAACACAAATTATAGAATCTACCTACTTCATGAACGGGAACAAACTGTTGATTCTAAAAATAGTGAAGAGGAGTTGTGTTGGGAGTAACAGAAGACCCATCAGAGTTGTGTCAAAGCATTGTAGTTCAATCCTATTTTAAAGGCCAAAGTAAGTTCATTCGAAAAGAACGCAGTTCAAGAAATAGAGCGCCAAAATTATCATCCGAGCCTAGCCTTAGTTTGGGACTAGTGTTCGGGCCACTAGCTATCAGAATATCTAAAACAAGAAGTAGAGCATAGGAAGAACGAAAGTGTAAAAATGTGTGCACACTCTATTCCAATGCCTTTAATAACACTCAGTGTAGTAATGTATCGATGTAAAAACATGCAGGAGAGGAGACAGAGCCGCCACCTGTGAGGTCATCTACTTTGCTGCATCAGTCCCTACAAGAAAAGTATGAGAGAATCATTGACCACGAAGGTGAATTTTGAAGTACAGAAGGAAGGTGCCAAGAACTCACGTTTCAGCATCTTCCGAGCGCGCTCGATACTTGCATGAAAGTGAGCAAGATCTTGTTCAGTCTACAATGCAATCAAAACGCATGGGAAGAAGATTTGGTCAAATCACTAAGGTTTTAAAATGTAATGCCCCGATTTTCTTAGAGACTACACCAAGACATACCGTCTAGAGATGAATACAATTTTAAAAGTTTATAAAAAGAATACACGAATCGACCGGCTTTCCTGAGAATTCGCACGCTTATTGGATCGATTGAAGACTATAAAGGGGGGGGGAGGGAAGAATCCTTTTAAGGAGTTGATAAGATTAGTAATTGGGAACTTATATTCTTCGGTGAGTCAGATTGACGAACGATAAGTAAACTACCCCAATTGTACACTATTAACCAAGAGTGATCAAAGATCCACCAACCTTGAATCTCAGCCCTAAAGTCATGACTTCTCCATCGGGACACTCAGAGTAGTCCTTGGCCACCCAACAGACTCCATGGTTGGCAACAAGGAGCGGTTTGAACTGGGGCATGTCCACAGAGATGGTTTGATTGGTGCAGATCTTCAGCACATGATCACGACGCATCAGAAGACGTGCGTGGTTAATGCCTCCCTCGAGGTCCTTGTTGGGCGGCAGTTCTGAACGCGGATCAAGAAAGTCGGCTGGAGGTGGATTTTTCGGATGGACGAGAACCTTCATATCCCCGATTCCGCGCTCCTTCCACTGGTTGTCAATAAGCCGATAGAGCTTGCAGCGCCTCAAGTACAGACATACGTCCTCCTCTTCACCCGTCTTTGTCTATTTCAAAAATTAATACCTTAAGAAAGGCTCGATGTCATGCATTCAAAAACTGAAGTGGAGTAACAGACCTCCACAAGATTTGGTAAGGGAATGATAGGCTCGAATTGAGGATCGGGATCGCTTTCGTTTTCATCATCATTGTCGCCTTTATCATCACCTTTTGCCGAGAAAAGAGTGGATCCCGCACCAGCCCAAGGTGAAGCTGATGATGAAGGTCCAGAGCTGGTCAGCCACGAGGGTTTCGACGGGGCCTCCTTGCTGAGGGCTTCAAAACCACCAAATCCACCACCACCGCCAAACAGAGGACCAGAAAAGCTCTTTGACCCATCGATCTCAAAAGCTTTACCTAAAACAGGGAAACGGAGGAGAATAAGCAGGAGTGATCATCGATACTGACCCTCGGGTGCACTAAAGTCTTACCAGTTGCTACAGGAGTAGTCATCTCTGACGCCTCATCAGTCCCAGGTTTCGCGGCTTGACAGGCAGGACAGACGATCTTCTCAGGATTGACCAATAAGAGACAAGACCCACACTGCCAGGAACACGATTTTCCACTAAGATCCTGCGAAGCGTTTGTGGCACCACTGAAGGTCGGAGGAGAAGGAGAAGTAGGTGGAGTAGCAATGACAAGTGACTCGGTACTTTTGACAACCACAAGAGAAGACGAGGTGGATGAAGTGCCGCGGTTGACAGCGGCCTCCAAGAGTGCGTCTTCCTCTGCCTCTTCTGCGGGTGTCAAATCCTCCCGTTGCGAATGACTGCTACTTCCCGGCTTCTTTAGTTCGTAGGCGTAGAAATCGTCTGGTAGTTGAAGGGCTCTTGCACGCGCCACTTGCTCAGAAGATAACTAATTTTGAATAATGGGGAGCATAGACTACCTCTTTGAAGACAGTATAACCGTTTCTACACGATGTTTCATGCAAAATTTGGGACTTCAAGCTTGAGACCGTGAAATGGAAGTTTGCAGCAATGATATGTGACTGAATTTTAGAGGCGCGTAACTATTACCAATCAGTGATATGGTTACGATCCACCAAGAACATTGCAAAGATAGCAAACAGAAGTAACAGTGTGTCGACGTAAAAAAAATGCTGACGACCTCGATTGTAGTGGTATCGTTCTCGCCCACCAACGCAGAATTTAATCGCATAAACGATCAGTAAAAGGACGGAGTCCTTGTTAACATAAAATCGTTTGAAGAACTGCCTTAAAACAACTCAATTCAGCTCACAATACCATCAGCGCAATGACATAGAAAGGTAATAAGGCAACCATTCACAAAAAAAACCTACAAAGAACGACCCAAGTTAAGGTTAAAAAGGCCCTCAGAAGAAACATTACCAGAAATGCGAAAGTAATACTAGCAGATGCCCATTCATGAGACACTACAAAATCACTTCAAACTGGAATAGCATCAACTAAGTTCACGGGAAATAACATTCGCACAGGAATAATCTGATGAAGGACAAAAATAAATAATTTGCAAAAAATGGAGATGTCGTACCGGATTCGCTACAATTACCAACTCGTCTTCTTCAGCCTCTAGATCGACAGGGGTTTCGGCCTCCGAGGCTGCAGCGGCTTTCACAAAGGCATCATGAAAGGCCTGTGATTCTTCCATAGTCTTAAAACGCACCGAGAACAATTCCTTCCTACCCTGCGGCCCGACCTCGTCATCGGAAAAATCAAAAGCCCACCAAACCCAAGGGATCACTGGCGCCTTGCTGCCTTCCATCGGTTTCAAGACCATGCCGGACGTAATGGAGTGGTTGCAACACACCTTGTGTATCTGTTCCCTCCGCATCACAATGCGTACTTTTCCAGAGACTGGAGATCGAAGCAACTTAAGCTGTCCTAGACCCCGCTCCTTCCAGATAGGGTTGTCGAACCGAAATAGCTTGGCACGGGCCTCGAAAACTACCTCTTCGTCTTCCTCCCCGGTGCGCACCTCCACCTTATCTGGTAGATGTTCCACCACAGGTTTAAAGCTGATCTGAGAGAGGTCGCTAGGAGTGACCTCATCCTCCTCGTTGTCATCATATTCCGTTGTTGCATCCTTTGCCTCATCTCCCTCCTTGGCGTCATCAACATTCTTGCCTTTCACTGGTGTTGGAGGCTTCATTTTAAAAGTAAATGTAACGTTGGGTTTCTCTAAATTTTTAGCTAGTTCCAGATTCGAAAATGCGCCACCAGTGGAACTCATAGGTTTGGTTCCTGGGACATTGAGAATGGAAGAGAACGACGACTTGTCCGATTCGACCGTTGGGGCAGGCGCACTGCCGAAAGTAAATTTCGGGAGAGGGGTAGTAGCAGTCTGACCGCCTGAAATCCCACCACTGCTGCCGAAAGCAAAACTTGTCGATGTAGCAGTGGACGTTGAGGCGGGTGTTGAGAAGAATTTAAAGGTTGATGATGCCGACGTAGTAGTGAGTTGAGGG